CTTCTAAAATATATATTATATCCTATTCTTATTTTCATAGACAAGATAAAAAATGTGCATTATTTAACCAAAATAACTAAACAATTAACAATTCACTAAACAGAGATATAAACCACATAAAAATTCATTAATAAAAAACGACTGTTAAAAAAACTAAAGTGTTCCCGAATAGTTGCATTTAGATATTTTAAATATTTTTTTTCCTTTCTTCTTTGTGGTTTTTGCTTCCGACGACGGGAAGAGACATACTTCCTGAAACGTTAAGCATTTTTTGTCCCCTAGGCAAATTTGTTTATTAGTAGACCACATCTGACAATAATTACCCAAGTAACAAAATTCCGACTTCCGACTAGTTTCGACTACGCGCAACGTTGAAATTGGTACTTTTTCCTACCCTATGCATACCCAAACCTCAAATTACGTAGCCAAAACGTCGCTACGACGTTGCACTTAAACAGTTGTTTATTTTGATCCTTAACAACGTTGGTGAACGTTGTAGGGTATAACGTTGTTAAAAGTTGGGTTTTATACCGTTGTCATTACGTCACCAACAGGCATGTTTATTGTACTACAGAATAACAAACGTAGTACAACGTTGTGCAACGTACTTTTAAATTACGAGTGTAAGTACATGCTAACTACAAGAAATAAATAACAATACACCTGGAGCCCATACAACAAAGGAATACTATGAGAACAATGATCCTCCAGAAGAGCAGTCAACTGAAGTTCAGTTTCAGCATAAATTGCAGAGAATAATAGATTTTAATTTTCAAATGAGTGGTAAAATCAAGAATACTTCCTGTATGGCTTTTTTTAACAATAAATAAGTAGAAATACTGATCTAATATCAGCGCTATTATTAACGAGTATGTGACCACCACCACGAAAGGATGACCCAGATTTCTTTTTTATTTTATTGTTCCTAGGTAAAAAAGAGCACTGTAAGAAGGAATTTTAGTCCCTAGATGTCGGTAGGGTTCAGAGGTCCTATTTCGTCAAAGCAGGTCTCAATTTTTGAACCAAAGGTCGACATAGGTGACCCAAAGGTCGGTTACCGCACCTTATGCACTATATTGATATTTTAAAGGTTGCCTTAGGCACCTCCACCATTTTAATACGATTTATCTTATCGTGCGTTCTAGACGAATCGAATAAAATATCAAAAATCACAAAATACTGCGAATTTCGTTAAAAAACTGTATCTGTTAGGGTTGTAAGCTAAATTTCCTGATAGATTTCATATATTTGTTTCAAAATTAAAAAAAAAGTTAGGTTAACCAAGTAAACTATAATTTTAACATTAAAACTAGGAAATAAAAAAGGGGTTTTGCCATAGTTCGAAGTATCATAGTCACTTTCAACAGTAAACTAATCTTTGTTGATGAATTTCGATTGCCGACATCTCAAAACTTTGCAGATTTGTCGAAGTTAAATTCACCTAGTTATTTCTTAATGGAGCATAATATAGTCCATTTCTAATTCAGCCATCACCAATTGCATTGTTTTGGTTTCCCCATGGTTGAATATAGTAATATTTGACGACGAATATTTTTAACTCTAACCTTAAAATATCGCGAATCGGCATGAAAAACAAATTTTAGCACACGACGTACTACGTCGCCTCAATCAATGTCGACGGCGACGTTGTAGCGCCCCTAAAAACATCCACCATTTTGGTGCAAATATGGGTCGCTTAGACGTCGCTTCGACGTTGTCCGGCAACGTTGGGTTGCTGCTGGCGACGTTGTGATTACGTTGAACAACCTAATTTTGCTACTTTGGTACTATCACCACTGGATTAACGCCCCCCCCCCAGCAGTGTTTACAAAAAAAGTAACTATTTAATTTTGTAGATTTTCTTACAGTGGCCAAATACCCATAGGACTTTTTAAAGAGATGAATCCACCACAGAAGTATAGACATTTTTTGCATTATTTAACTTTATAACCCAAATCAATCTAGTTTAAAAGAATATCATTATTTTGTTTAATTTAATTCAACCAGATATTTTTTTTGGTTTTCCATCGTGTTTCCAACTAATCAATTGCGGGTTATTTGATTTTTTATTTAAAAATATATGAAATGTATATTTTTATGGATTAATAAATATATTGTAAAAATTAATAAAGTTTTTTTAAGTAACATCTAAATAAAGACAAATATGATTTAAAATTATTTTCTTACTGTTCTATTTGTAAACTTAGCTGAAAAGATTTTTTCCTCATAAAATCTTTCATTCATATTTTATAAAATACACTTCTTGTCTAAAATAGTTCACGTTCCCAAACTTTTTTGTTCGAGTTTTTGCATATTATTAACATAAATCCACATAGTGTCCTCTTAACCTCCATTAAACAGTCAGCGGAATAAGTGCATTGGCAAGACGCATTTTCAGCGTCTTACACGAATCTGCACTTAAGCTGCCCATCAAAAGGACTATTACTCTATCTTCGCTCTGCCCATTGCCAACTCACTTCTCTAAAGGTTAAAATGTATTTTTTGACTCTCTTTTTCGTTTTTTAGCTACACGTGATATAATTTCTGGAGGACAGCATTATAAATCAGTTATTTTCATTACATTATTAAATTTATAATTTAAATTAAGACAAATTAATGAATTATCTTAATTGTTCTATTAGAAAAAATTGAATACACGTCAAACTTTCGAACATTCCTTAAAAATATACGTTAAATGAGTCTAATATTTTTAAGGGTGTTTAAAAACATTCGAATTTAACGTTAAATATATCACAAGACTATGGCAGTTTCTTTTCCGCATATTTTATATAATTATCCAGATATATCTTGGATATGGTTTACTTAACAAGCAGGTATTAATATTTAGTTATATACCAAAATAATTTTTGAAATATAACCAAATTTATTTTTTATTCTAGTGGTTGATGTTGATTTAAATATAAGCTAATGCTTATTTGTAATTAGAAATAACTATTATTAAGCTTGTATATTTTTTATAAAGATTTTGTTTAAGCTAATCTAAGTTTTGAGTGTTTGTACGTAAATTGACTTTGACCCTTTTTCGGTCAATTCAAAAATATTCTCACTACAAAAATAATGTATATAAAGGGTTAGTTTTAAATATCTAATTGCAAATATTTTTGGGGGTGGTATATTTCGAACACAGAAAAATTTTTTTTACAAATATTTCTTTGGAAAATTTGGGATTTTTTGGAAAAAAGTTTGGAAATATTTTTAATTCTTAATTAAAAACATAATATCTGTTGATAATATGGCAACATAGGTAGTAGATTACATTTATAAGACAGGAAACCCAGGAAATATCTGAAAATTTAAGCATTAACTGGGTTATTTTGGACTTATTTGAAAAACGGTAAAGAGAAAATATGTTTCTTTCATCCAGATCTACCAGCTCTCAAAATATTTGCACTTATTTAATATCACCCTGTATATACGCATAATGAGTTAAAACATGTAGTTTTAACCCAACCTGTATATACCATGTCATATAGTGTATTTTAATACATCTAAACAATGAAAGATTACTACTATAAAGTAAGAAAAATATAAAGAATTTTATAACTTTGGGTTTGGTTTGGTTTGGTTGGTTTTAATAATATTTTAAGAACGTGCGTATTATGCATTAAGTTTTGTAAAAATAAAGTTTAAAGTATAATTTTGCTTGCTATGGTATCCACGTTCTTAAAATATTAATCATTTTAAACTAAATATTCTGGAAAAAATTTGGAGTATTATTATTTTGGAAATTATTAAAATTTGGCCTACCGAAAATAGAATTATTTCTATTGGCATTTGATTGATTAAAAGCATTTTGTTGATTAGGATTAGTAATAAAATTATTCCCGAAATTAAAATTTGATTGATTCATTGATTTTTGATTTGGAAACCCTGAAAATTTTTGTGTACCGGAAAAAATATTTTATTTCGCAAACTAAAATTATTTTGACTTTGAGAGTTATTCAAGTTTCCATATAATTTCTTAAAACTCTGAAATTCTATAACATATGCCAGAGCATCTTCGAGTGAATTTAGCTGTTTAAGATGATTGCTATTTTTGAGAGTTACCGTGCATCCAGCAATGAAAGTAGTCAATGCAGTTTTCTCGTAATATTTAATATGGCAAAATTTTTGTTCTCGTGTTAAACCTAAATCGTTACTAACTACTACTATACTGAATTAAAAAAAAGTATTAATATTTTAAAAACGTGTATATCATATCAAGTAAAATTATTCTTTAAGTTTTGAAAAAATAAGACTTAAAGCATAATTTTGCTTGATATGATACGAACGTTCTTAAAATATTAATAATTTTAAACTAAATATTCTGGAAAAAATTATAATATAAAGTATTATTATTTTGAAAATTATTAAAACTTGGTCTGCCGAAAATAGAATTATTTCTATTGCCATTTGATTGATTAAAAATATTTTGTTGATTAGGATTAGTAATAAAATTATTTCCGAAATTAAAATTCAATTGATTCATTGATTTTTGATTTGGAACCTCGAAGAAATTTTTGCACTGGAAAAAAATATTTTGTTTATTTCGCAAACTAAAATTATTTTGACTTTGAGAGTTATTTAAGTTTCCATAAAAATTTTGAAATTCTACAACATACGCCATAGCATCTTCGAGTGAATTTAGCTGTTTCAGATGCATGTTCTTTTTGAGAGTTCCCGTGCATCCAGCAATGAAAGTATTCAATTCAGTTTTCTCGTAATATTTAATATGGCAAAATTTTTGTTCTTGTGTTAAACCCAAATCGTTACTAACTACTACTATACTACAAAAAATTATTAATATTTAAAGAACGTGCGTTTCATATCAAGCAAAATTATGCTTTAAGTTATGAAAAAATAAACCTTAAAGCATAATTTTTCTTGACATGGTTCGCACGTTCTTAAAATATTAAAAATAATTGTTTTTAAAATTCATTATTCGAAAAATTAAGCTGCGCAATATTTTTGACACACAGTACAACCAATTTACAGCTCACCTGCTGGTACAGCTCGAAAAAAACAAGGTACTGCTTGCCTTCCCACATCGTTTTCGGCATAACACGCCAATCCGTTGACATCATTTGTCGGAGGAAGAAAATGTAAAATTGAGACGTTTCCTTTATTCTGCAAATGGGCTCCCTGAATCGGAAGTACATCTCTGGACGTGTTGTAAGTCCAAAAAAACTTATTGACCGGCGGTATGGAATCCACGATACATTGAGCAATGATTGGCTCGTAGGGCACCATACCAAGATGGATATCTTCATGTCCTTTTTTGCAATGTGGCGCATCTGAAATAAAATTGTATAGATATGAAATTGTACCTATTCATAGCTAGATAATTGTTTATTTAATCCCCATGTAGGAAATACAATATATCTAATAAATATATTAAAAATGCATAAATATTGCCGATATACAGGGTGAGTTGGTGAGTAAGTGCAAATCTTTTCAGGGGTGGTATATTTTGAGGCTTCTTTTGTAAAAAAAGATGTTGAATATCGTGCATTTTCTTTTAAATTTTCCTGTACATTTCATGAAATTTTTTAGAACTGCCCGTTTATAGCAAATTTTTCCACGGTATTATTATTTCCACCTCAATCTCTGATATTACCATGGTTACGGTTCTAAAAGTGATGCAAATACAGAAAAAAAACGGTAACTCAAAATTTTTTAAAAATATATATTTTTTTTTAATTTTCAAACTTGAATAACTCAGTTATTTTGGACTTATTTTAAAAACAGTGAAGAGAAAATATGTCTCTTTTATCCAGATATACCGACCTTGAAAATATTTGCATTTATTTGAGACTCACCCTGTGGCAAACAAAAACTATTTAAAAACATGCTATCCAGGATCAATCAAAAATCCATCAAGAAAAACAATTATTAATGGCTCATCAATGATTGTCTCAAGAGAGAAGACAATCGTTGTTGACATGATGCTCTTGGATTTTTCTTAGTACATTGTATGTGACAGGTGTCTAATAAAAACTGTCCTTATGTTCGGAACATGTCCGGAAGAAACGTTTTAACAAAAATCAGAACGAAAGAATTAGTACATCTATCAAGTACCCTCTGAATGCGGTGACTCGTCTATTGGAGAGACAAAATGTCCTCTAAATGTACGACTTAGCGAGCCTAACATGAACAACGCAAGGATGTGAAACTATGAAGTTTGGTATCTCAGAGGATGTGTAGTTCAAACAACATATCACAAAGTGGGTGGAACACCCAAAGTTATACATTTCATGTCGGAGTTGTGTAATCCAACTACAAACTTTGCATTTCTTTTAAGATTTTTTACTTAGTCTCGACAACGAACATTGACAACAAGCCGAACAATAAAATAAAAATAAATCGACAAATTCCGGTTGGGGGGGAACAACGTGATAGAGGCAAAATCTATTGTAAAAATTAAGCTAAAATGAAAAAGGAAAACTTTGTCGATGAAGAAAACCCGGAGAAAAAAACAACTCGATGGAGGAAAGAGGCATTGCAAATGGCAGAACCGGGCAAATCCTGCTGCGTGAGTAATCTACTCGCCGCGATCGTTTTCATTTGTAATGCCCAATGACTAGCTGGTCCTTTTTCACCGAGAAAGAAATTAACTTTATCTGGAAATTACGGATAGACGCGACGGTTCTGCGGAAATTGCGCATTTTTCCCGTCATCGGAACCTGCGGCAGCTGCTTTTAGAGTTCTAGGAACGCATTATAGTAGAAATTTTATCCTGATCCTTAACCGATACTCATATATACGTATCGTGACGTTGTGAAACTACGTCATGCTGTGCGCTGGCATTTGCATTTTTGAGGTTATTTTGCTTCGATTAATTATGGATTAGGATGTCCGCTATTTACCAAATTGATCATTTCTCTCACAACACCCTTTAAGTTTTTAGTTTATTGTCTAAAAAAAATAACAGACTATTGTAAACCCTTAATATTCACAATAAACCTTGCCGCAAAAAAGTTTCATTTCCCATTTAAATTATATAGGAATTTGCCAGTTTTTGCAAATAATTTTTTTTTCTCCCGATCTTATTCTCTCATAGCCATGACAATATTATAAGTATACTCTTATACAGAATTAAACGCTTTACAAAAAACGTTTCTTACAATTTTTCAATAAACCTACTCCTTCAAAAGTTATTCACAGTTAAAGTTAACAACTCGATAAACCAATGGGCACCTATCCTAGCATCCTACAGGCAGAAATCTACGCTATCGAAAGATGCGTACAAGTTATCTTAGATAGGAACTATCGGAAACAAGAAATAGTCATCTTATCTGATAGTCAAGCAGCATTAAAAGCGATCAGCTCAGTATCAATCAATTCGAAATTGGTCAAAGAATGTATAGAGAAGCTGAATAAATTAGGCAAAGAAAACAAAGTCCTCCTACTCTGAGTGCCTGCTCACTAAGGGATAGAAGGCAATGAAAAAGCAAATGATCTAGTTAGAAAAGGAGCGGACATTCCACTAACTGGACTAGAACCGTTCTGCTTCCCAAGTGGTAACCAACTAAAGGCGGAACTCAAGAACTTGGAAGACTCCATCCGCAACCTGGAATGGGCATCTTGCAGCGGTCTAAGGTACTCGAAGAAGTTTCTGAGTGAGGGCTTACGACCAAGAAAAATCAAAGATCTTCCTGGAGTTGAGTAAGAACAATCTTCGGATTGTCACGGGGTTTTTAACAGGACACTCTTGTCAATGAACACCTCAGTAGATTGAAACTAAGAAGAAACGGTGAATGCAGATTCTGTCGGGAAAATGGGGAAACACCAGGACACCTCATCACTGAGTGCGCTGAGACAACAACCATTCGTGCCATGAACTTTGGTACGACAGATACTGGAGAGGGAAAACTACCCTCTGTAAAACCTTCCCAGATACTGGCTTTTGTCAAAGCCCTGGGTCTGTATGATGAGCTATAACTCAAGAAAGGGGGATACAATAGATCTCTAAGATCGCAGTGACTAACCCCCCTCCCACTCATTCTAAATTCTGAAAATAAATTCTAACCACTCGGTAAATTCTTTTTTTTATATATGAAGTTTGTTTTTGTCAAAAAAGTTGAACCTACGGCGTATTTTGATTGAGTTGGTTAGTCTCCGGGGTGATTTTATTGTCCATAAATTGCACGCGAAATGCCCGACCGATATTGTAGAAATGTTATATATTATAAGTTTTTGAAATTTAGGTTAAATTAACTTAACCATAGTTTGTACGTATTTGTCTACAATTTAAATCAATTAATTTACTGCAACAAACAATTTTTTTTCAAGTCGTACCGAAGTGATTGTGGTGGTCTGGAATTTTCTAGAGAGAGAGAGAGAGCAAAATATTTTTCTTTTATATTTTTTTATAATACTATCTTGATATTCTTTATATTCTTTAAATAATTTGGACGAACTTTTCCATTATAACTAGATTTAAACTGCCATAGCCTAATTTCATAATTTTCTCAATTTTAATTTTGATTTTAATGCTAGTTTAAACTTTCATTTTAATTATAATTAGTTAAGTAGTTAACTTCATTTGGATATTGTAGAATTTCATAAATATCTTTACTTGTCATTTAAATTTTATGTATTTTTATTGTACCTTCATTGGCAACAAACAGACAGCCCAATTGGTAATTCAGAGCACCACCACAAAACTGGGTACTTATCAATTGTGTTGAGTAGAATACTGCTGTTTGTTATCTTCTAGGAAGATACGAGAATTGGCCAGTGTCGTGAGCTACTTATGGGGAGAAGTAGCTCACGCACTGAGACTGGTGGAGTCTCACAAGCTCTCCAACGTTAGCCGGACAATCACGCTACCCACCAGCGGATGAGTGCAGCGAAGAGGGTGAGGCCTTTCTCTCAACCAACCGAAGCAGAAACACATATAAGTATTCCAGTTATTTGTTACTAACAAGACTGTATGTCACAGCTAATTGTCGTATTATTGTGAGCAATTGTTAAGTTAATATAAGTTAGTATTTTTTTAAAAAAAGATCTTGTTTTATTTAATTCCAAAGCATACTTCTAAATTCATCAACATCCAGAATTTTGTGGGTTATAAGTTTCTCGATATATAATTACATACAAGGTATTATTTTTTACATCTTTTTATATTATTTGGAATGCTTGAAATTGTATAAAAAATCATTTGTGGCGTTTGAAAAAAAATAGCATGTTCTATTCGCAGTAAAAATGACTTTTTGTGCCTCGCTTGTGTGTCAAATGTACAGCCTCGCCGCGAAAAGTGTCATTTTTACTCCTAATAATAATAATATACTATTTTTTCTAATAATTATTATTTAATTAAAGTTAAACTAGTTAAAAATTTTAAAAAATCGTAACTAATTTGTAATAATATCAAAATCAGTGAAAGTCGCAGTTTATGAGATAATTGAAACTAAAAGAACAGCCTACCAAATTTTTATTAACATATTTAAGTATGGGCGGCTATACGTGCCTCCCGGCGCCAATTTTTTTAATTAATAATGCTTTGAGTGAAATAATTTCATCATTAGACTAGTAGTTAGACTCTTATTAGTTTAGACTCTTTCTGGTAATCATTCTAATTTAATAATAATACTTCTTACTTCCTTTAATCCTAATTATATCTAAAAAAGAAAAGGAACATAAAACTAAGAATTTTAACCAGTCACGAAACAGGAACATATCTTAAGAAGCTTTTTTAGCAATATCCTAAAAACCACTTGAACAAACACATACTTTCCCTTTATCCTTCGAAAATCTCCACTTAGAACCAAACTCCTTTTCGCCAAAATTGACCTAAAAAATCCTGCTATAAAAATAACCAGTATTTATGGCGACGCGTACTGCGTGACTCCTTCCCGCTTCAAGCCAACAACCCCGCCTGCAGATGATGACACCTCGTGTGACGACTACACGGCCTCTTGTCATCCCACCCCCGCCCCTTTTTTCGGGCGATTCATCATTTTTTATGCCCGCACGCCGCGAGATGGCGTTTTTATTGTAATTTTGTATCTTATTTTGCGCCAGTTGCCACCGCGCGTCTCGAAAATGTGTTATTTATTTTGTGTGTATAATTTTGTTTTATATTTCGGAGATCGTATTTTATCGGTAACGGTGACAGTTTCTTTTTACTTATTCTTCGTTGTTTTTTTATGTAAATATTTGATGTAGGATGCAGTGGCAGATATATAAAGTATACTTTACAGTTAATGCTAGAAAGCACACATGATAAGAATAGGCTTGTTTCACAATTTTTTTATCTAACCAATCGAAACTACAACTAAAAAACAACAGA